CCTCCGAGTCGCGATATACCGATATCGCGCGCATTAACCTCTTCCACCTACCCTTCTTCCCTCCCCTCTCGAGAAGTCGTTACAAAACTAATTTAAATTTCTTAAGAGCCTTAAATTCCCCGAGTTCCGTTAAAATTTTACAATCGCGCAATCGACCTAATTATCAGTTTTTCCATAAATCCGGGAGGAACAAATGGGTTTTTTTTCCTCGCGCGTATAANTCGACTCGACTCGATTCGAGTTCGAAGATCGGCCCCTTCCGTTCGATTCCTTCCTTTTATTCGAAACTTCCTTCGCTTCTAAAGTCTTCTAAAATCGCACGGGAACGCACGGTTTCATGCAGTCGTCCGCTGTTCGGGGTAAAGTAATCTATCCGGGGACGGGATGGCACGATACGAAGGAAAATACCCATCGGAAAAAAGCGGGATTGCGAGCGGGGGCGGGGGAAGCGTATTATTGTGGGAGTTGGAGCCGTAATACGAAGGTGGTGATAGCTGTGATTGCTCGACCAACGACACAGGGATGGGGTTAATGGTTGTAGCGATTCTCCCCGCAAACCGGTTATCCCCGCCACCATCCATTCCAACCCCCAACGCCCTATCTTTCTTCTTTCGCTTCCACATCCATCTTTGTTGGCAGCTGTGCTGCCTGAGACGATCGTCGTCTCAACCTTCGTCCCTATCCTTCATCTCTCTTTCTCCTTGATGACACCGATTAAACCGATCGAGAAATTGCCACGATTTTATGCAGCGCCGAAAACAACTCGCGACGAACGATGAAAAAATTATATTTTTGCTCGTGTGACTCGTTACACAATTTAAAAGTACTACCCGATATATGCACGTTAAAGGGATGACACGATTAAAATTATTCCAAGCGGAAGAACTCCTCGACAAAGAGAGAGAGAGAGAGAGAGGAAATTCGAAGCGACGTTTTATTTTGAAAGTAACGGCGCCTTTGACGTCTTATATAACATGTCCCTGGAATAGGTTAAACATTTCACGTTGCATCGATTTCGCCGAAGAACGAGTAGCAAAAGTAGATGGTGAAACATTGTTTCCCAATAAGATCGCGATATCTTTTCCTTTCTGGAGCAGAAGCTCTCTCTCTCTCAATTTCTGCCGGACGACGAAGAGGCGTAATATATCAAAGCAATAATAATTTCCCCGCAATTCTATTTCCATGCAAAAAGATACACGGTCTAGGTGGTGCACTCCCCCTCCCCCA